TTTCGATTTGATTTGGTTTTGGTTTGTGTATTTGGTTTGGTTTTGGAGTCACGGCTGGCAGACAGGTTCTCGGCTGGAGAACGTCAAGAAGGGAGATTTGCGAGGCCATTCCCCTGAGTGCAGAGAGCTTTGGGATTGTGCCTAACAAGGACAGAAGGAAGGCTGCTAGGTCTGCAGTATGAATACGGAGGTTGACCAACTGCAAAGGCACCTCGACAATAGACGGGGCCTGTGTCTGTGTGAATAACAGTGAAACACATGAGAGTATATCCTACAGAATCCTTCCGCAAGTTATGAACAAAGTGTCAAAGCAAAAGGATAGCAAGAGAAGAAACAAAAGTAGTACACGCACATACAAGTCCTCGAACAAACATAAATCGGGCCGTATCCGAAATTCCCATATGTTCCAAATGCCTCCGTCTAACGAGACGGGCAACCCTGCTGCATCCATTTTTCCGCCATGTGCCTTGCCCAAGGCCCAAAACCCCAATCAGTCATGATCAATCCATCCGTCCATCTAAAATCGTTTTCTCCCGCCGGCGCTGACAATCTGGCACTTTCCGTACTTGTCAATGTGGGCACTCTCGCCATCGAGGAGAGTAATGTAGCCGTTGGGGCTGTGTTCCGTGTCGACGCCCTTGGGGCCGTGGGCCTTTTCCATCTCCTCGCGGAACTTGGTCTTGGGCTTGTTGGCCTTGAGGCGCTGCTTCTCGAAGAAGACGTAGCCGGCGTAGAAGGACACGTTGGTGTTGCCGTCGAGCGGCCCCTTGCGGCCCATGAAGTAGCGCAGGTTGGCGGGCGACACGCTGGTGGTGCCGTCGGTAAACGTCTTTGAGATCTCGCGCACAAAGGCGGCCTGCGTGACGCCGTCCTTGGCCAGGAACGCTCGCGTCTTCTTGCGCACCTCGTCGCACGTGTCGTAGACGGGGACGGCCTGCTGGGCCTCGCGGGGCAGGGTGACGCCGGCCACGTCAAACAGGTCGGCGGCCTTTGCGGCGGCGGCCTTCTTCCCCGCGGGCGCGTCGGCCGTCTTGGCCTTCTTGGGCTTGGGGGCCTTGAGGGGGAGGCCCTGCAGCTCGCGGCGCTTGAAGAAGGTGTGCGCCTTGGAGTAGGTGTCGCAGCCCTGGCCGTCCCAGGCGCCGGTGCGGTTCATGAAGGAGCCGTAGCCCTTGGAGCTGACGCCAATGGCCTTTTGGAACTCGCCGACCTTCATGGCGCCGGACTCGGTCCAGTTGCGGATCTTGCGACGGACCTGGTTGCACGAGTCGGTCATCTCGCTGAGACGGTCATCGTCAGAGTCGATTGACTCGACGTCTGAGGGGAAGAGGTTTTCCTTGTCCGCGACATCATTGGCATCCGACTTGCGCTTTCTGGAGGTTGCTGCTGGTGGCTTGGTGGTGGCGGTAGCAGTGGCGGTAGCAGTGGCGGTAGTGGCAGCAGCAGCCTTGGACGCCGGCGGAGGAGGAGGAGGAGGATTTGCTGCTGCTGCTGCTGCACTCATTGGCGGAAGAGGGACAGACGAGGAATTGAAGATGGGAGTCAAGACCAGGGGCACAGCGGTCTGCGGCTTTGTCTGAGGAACGGGAGGAGGAAGATTGAGATTGGAGATGCTGGGTAAGTTAAACGACCTGAGCGCACGGCTGGGGGACCACGACCAGCCAGAGTCTGCCATGACGTCAATCAATCAATTAAAAAAAACGGGAGAATAAGGGGTAAGTCAGACGGATCAAGATGGGTGGCTACGAATGGTGGCATGAAAGGTAAAAAAGCCTTTTCCTCCTCACTAACTCAACTCTCTTGTTGTGATGTCGACGCGAATGAATTGATACCCGACGCGTCTCTCTGGGCGCGGGGTACAAGTAGCAACAGGTACCTCCCAATTATGTCATCGCTAAGAACTTGTCACTTTGTTAGCCTCCGTATTTAGCCCCGGCGTCCATCGGCCTAAAGCGGGGCTCCGGCCCGGACCTCGCGTTGGGCCTCCCGGGGCTTGACATCAGCGGTTGTCTCCCTCCGCGCAAACTCAAAGAAACAAAGAAATAACACAAGGCCCCAGAGCCAAATTCCAAAGCTCAACCCCATACATCTCCGGGAATAATTCCTTGTGGATCAAATATGCCCCCGCATATATATATGCGGCCTCGAATGCGCCTCTCTGCATCCCATGTGGTCCGGGGTACATGAGAGTGGAACTAACACTGAGGGGTTGAGCATTCCTGAGCCCTCCGATTGGAAACACCAAACTCAACTGTGGAAATAATATTCCACCAGGAGCCGAGAATCCAAGTCTGGCTGACATGGCCATGCATCCGATGACCACAGAACACTTGTCACTCTAATTCTACGCTTAGGTAACAGAATTGTCGCCTTTGCTTCAATCTCGGTTGTCAGCTTCATCGACAATCCCCATCCTATCCCGCATGGAGTTGAACTATCCAAGAGACCAAACCAAGTCACAGGTATCGGATTACAAAGCCACGGAGAAGCCCAGCTAACAAGTCCCAACGCTTACGGTAACCGTTGCGTCGGCATCGACGCTTGCCATGTCTCTCCTCACAACTGCCAATCCTCGATGCGTCCTTGTGGATCTGCCTCGCAACGCAGTCCTGGTGGAGCTGTGGAGCTTCGTGGCATGACTCGCTTGAGGCCTGGATGAGTTGCAACCGTCTGCGTGGGGGATTCAGAGATGGTTGTACAAAGGTCGTGGGGGTTCCATGTCTGACAGAAGCCAGCTGATCGAAATGCCGTTCGATGTTTCCGCTTGAAGCCCCGGAATCCCTGGGCCATGGTTACTTTCGAGGTGCTTGATTGGACGTCTCGCTGTTGCTTGGCCCGTTGCCTTCGGAGATTCTTATCCCGACGGACGGGAGAAACAGATTATAAGACGGCCTCTGTTACCCGCCAGTCTGCTTCGAGCAGAGATATATCCCGTGTGCTCAGTTGACTCCCTTGTCACTTGCTTGCATCTCATATAGTGCACAGATCAGTAGCCATCTCACCACCATGACCGTCTCTGTAGGGGTCAAGGTGAACGGGAACACTGTCCATCCTCCTCGGCCACCAAATCCCCATTTAGTCGACGGCATTTACGTCCCAACAGTTGCCTTCTTTACACCTGAGGACAATATTGACATTGAGACAACAAGAGCCCACGCAATTCGACTTGCACAGACTGGCATAGCTGGCCTAGTGACACACGGATCCAATGGCGAGGCCGTCCATCTCGATCATAGTGAGCGTTCAGCCATTACCAAAGCCACTCGATCTGCACTCGACATCTCTGGGAAGTCTCACCTCCCTTTGATCGCAGGATGTGGCGCACAATCCACAAGAGAGACAATCCTACTCTGCAAAGAAGCTGCAACCTCGGGCGCGAGCCATGCCCTTGTATTGCCACCTGCATACTACGGCAGCCTGCTCACGACGGATCTAATAATGGAGCATTTCCGCACAGTTGCCGACGCGAGTCCGATTCCCGTGTTGATATACAACTTCCCCGGTGCCTGCGCAGGTCTAGACCTGGACTCGGATAGCATCCTCACCCTGTCAAAGCACCCCAACATTGCAGGAGTCAAGCTGACCTGCGGGAACACGGGCAAGCTCGCCAGAGTAGTGGCTGGAACAAAGGAAGTGCCCTTCCGGACGTTTGGCGGGAGCGTCGACTTCACCATCCAGACGCTCGCAGTCGGCGGCCACGGCATCATCGGCGGTACAGCAAACATAGCCCCCAGGACGTGCGTGCAGCTGATGAATCTGTGGAGAGAGGGCCGCTGGGAGCAAGCTCGTACGCTACAGGAGGTCGTGGCCCGCGGCGATTGGGCTGCCATCAAGGGAGGCTTCGTGGCTGTTAAGGCGGTGTTGCAGCACTACTATGGCTATGGGGGGCAGCCTCGAAAGCCATGTACTTCTCTCGGCGGGAGTGGGCTCGGGTCACAGTTGGCTGAGTTCTCGGAGCTGGTAGAGGTCGAGGCCAAGTTGGCGGCATCTGGCTAGGTTTCTTGGTAGAGGAGGGGGCAATTCGGAGAAAGGTTACTATACTGGCGCGACGTCTTGCGCTCGCATATCATGTGATATCCAGCATCCATTGGCGAGGATTTCGGCGAAATAGTTGTCCGTCTCATGGTGGCCTCTTTGTTCTTCAGCGTCTAAGGGGCTGTTCCTAGTGACGCTTTGTTGAACATGGCATAGTCACGAGTACTCGCAGCGCATTCGAGGCATGGTTAAGAGTAGAAAGAAAGCGTATTTCGGTCATTGTTCGATGAACAAACAATGCAGTGTCAAGGGGTATTTAATTCGGCTTCTCGTGCTCACTTACTCTCCTCATTTAACATCTACCATCAGAAACCGCTCATCAACCATTTACATGTACAAACACACACACACAACGTTCTTGACTCGACAATAGCTCACCATGTGCACTCAACTTAAGAGGCAATGCGAACTGTGCGGATTTGGGCGCTTCGTGGGATACCAGCAATGCGCTGGATATAGAGCGGCATATAACAAAGCCGAGGCCAGGGGGTTGTCTCCACCGAGCAAGGCTGAATGCAACTATGACAACAAGTCGAAAATCATCGGCCAATACTTGCCGTTTCTGTGCAACAATTGGATTTGCTTGGAGACTCGGACAAGGAGGAAATGAAGCAGCTGCGTGAGGGGCAGGACCTGGGTCTTCTGATTGAACAGAATCTGGATGAAACGAAACCATTTCCCATCTTGTGACTGTTGTTTATTGAGTCTCTTCTGAGTGATATTCTTCGTTGTACTTACTCATGGTACTTCCTTCGACTTGCACTTACACGCGATGTTGGTCCTTATCGTGATTGGCCATCGGCATCTCCACTTTTCAGTTTTCGTCCATGTGCTGTCTCCGGATTAATCTCGGCCAGACTCGGCACTCAACAACAACCGCAAAACTGCAGCAAAACTGCAGCAAAACCCGTTCAAAAAGAAACACCACAACCACCACGCAGAAATGCAAAAATGCAAAAATGAATGAATGACGACATTGGGATTCGAACCCAAGAGGATTGCTCCACCAGGAATGGTTGTTAAGGTTGACCTTAACCTGGCGCCATAACCAACTCGGCCATATCGCCTCGACGTCTTTGAAGACCCGCTTGATGGGAGAGTCGAAGCACAAGCGGCCCATATGCCCCGGAGTGAGAGATTTTTGCGAAATGAGCGGGCATTTACGGGTAGGTGATGGGTTTGAGGGCCGTTGCTGCTTCCTTTTGCTTTTGCTTGTTTGTTTCATACGGCCTGTGTGGGTTGAGGTTGTTGAGCCCGGGAGGGGACTTTGCTCTGGTTGTGCATCTTTCACCAAGTCAACTTACTTGGGACTGGCTCTCAGTGGGCGCTGTAGGGTAGTTCTATGGCCGTGTTGGATGCGTGGACGCTTCATTTGCCACCTTCAATGCGCGAATTGACTCGCAACAACTGTGAGACACTGCCTGAAGCCGACCCTAAGACATGAAAAGTTGTAGGATCGCGGGCCATCGGTGAATCGACTCGCACGCATCGAAAGAAGCGATAGATAGTTACTCTTCCTCTCAAGTTATCCGCCCACTGCTCTAACTTTTCCATATTATTCGGGCGAGCATCCTCTGCCAAGTCCATGACATCAACGCCTGGGGTCGGCACCATCGGCAAGCGGCCGCCCTATTTCGCAAGTACTCCGGTACCTACAGTAGTGTGTCAAGGGGGGGGGGGGCGACCCCTGGAATAACCCGCCAACGCGCCCCCAGCTGCACCCGACGCAAGCAACCAAAACATTGGAGCTCCCGCCGACGCCGACGCCGACATGGAAGAAAAAAAGCCTCGTCCTTGGTTGGCCCGTCCTCCACCATCCATCACATTCCCCCGACCTTTCCGTCTTTCTTTTTAAACTTCCCTTTCCATTCTTTGCTCATCTCATCTCATCTCTCACTCTTCCCTCCCTTTGCTCTTGTCTAACCCCCTGGGCCCTTCTCATCTCCTCCCCAGCTGGTCGGTCAATTGCTCACGGACAACTTCTCAATCCGCCATCATGCACGCGTCCACCATCCTCGTGGCCCTGTCCACCGTGGCCTCCGTCTCGGCTTCGGCTCTTCGCTACCGAGCCGCCGCCCCCGAGCCTACAAGGGCAATTGCAATTGAGAAGAGGGTCGAGGCAATCGAGAAGAGAGCCCAGCCCTCGGATGCTTGGGTCAGCGTCGACGATGAGGCCCAGCCCGAGACCACCAACACGCCCTCGGCAACTGTGGTCGATGGTACCACTTCCTATGAAAACGGCGCTCCTCACGACCTCACGGCAACTGTTTTCACCATTACCGAGCTCGGCAAGATCACCACCAGCACTGGATCGCCTCCCAACCCAACTGCCTCCAGCAACGGCCAGGGTGCCTTTGCTAGATGTCACAACAAGGACGGCGACAAGGCTCCCCTCTGTGACCCGGCTGTCGACAGCACGCTGCTTGTCGACTCGACCTACTACAGTAAGCTACCATGCCTAACATTGACCCCGTGAACAAATTGAACTGATAATGTCTTGCGCTTCAGTCACCTGGGATCCCGACTACTTCGACAGCTCTGACCTCAAGAAGACCAATGCCAGCTACCAAGTCTCCGTTCGCCTCGACTACTTCAACACAACGAGTCTTGAGCTAGTTAAAGAAGACCACTTTACCGCCAGCAATGCTTCCTGGGCTTCTACCCCTTCTACGTCGACAAGAAGTACCTGCACGGCTACGACGAGCACAACTTCACCCTTACTCTCTACCAGGAGAGCACCGTGAGCAATGAAAAAAAGAACATCACCGCCATCTGGGTCCAGCTCGCCAAGTACAAGCGCCCCCTGAACCCCACGACCTCCGCCCCGACCGGCCAGACCCTCACCATTGCCCTCCCCACCGTCTTCGGCGCCATCGTCCTCCTCCTGATCGGCGGCTGCCTCTGGAACCGCCAGACTCGTCGTATTTCCATCGGCAACATCATGAGCCGCAGCCGCCACGGTTACACCGGCCGCAAGTCCCGCCGCATCTTCCGCAAGGACAATGGCATCCAGCTCGACACCCGCGGCCCTCTGCCCGGCGGCGAGTATCGCGACGCCCCCGAGCGCCCGCGCCGCGACAGTGACGGCCTCGGAAGCCTGGCCAACAGCCCCGTGGACCCTTCGTTCCAGCAGCAGGGAACCACTGGTGGCCATAATGCGTTCCGGGATGAGCTCGCTAGACAGGACCGTGAGCGGAGATAAAACAGAACCGGGCGAGCGAGGTAGATGAGAAGAGAGAGGATGATGGGAAGACGATATACAGGTATTTACAAAGCATGTTACAAAGTACGAATTAGGTAATGATGAAGCCACGCTTCACGGGAGATTGGAGTAACGATTGGCATGAAGCTTCACGATAAAATAATAACATTGTCAATTGACGAAAATTCTACCAACCCATGCATGTGATGACAAAAAAAAAACCTCCTTTTGGGTATGTGTGAACCAACAACACGAACCCGATGCAACTAAATTCACAGCTGCCCTGTCCATGGCAAGGCCATCAACTTTCCCAACTCGTCGACCTTGGACGCCAGGTGTAGTGCGGAAGATGAGAGAGACGCCAGAAACGTGCAAGTTGACGCCACGATCTCAACATCCGATTTGCCTTGGTAGAGATGAAGCACGCCGTTAACCGTGCCTTTGGGTATCCCGAAATCATAGCAGCCCTTTTGCCGTTGAAACAAACCAAGAAACCCCATTCATGGCGTGCCAAATAACAACTCCTGTCCCAAATTCATTTGCGCCTAGGTCTATGCCTTGATCCGTTTCATATCCCGTTCGCGCGGGTCGTCCTCGTTATCTAAACTCCTTTTCGCCGGCATCGGTGTTGTAACTTTCTGATTAGATGGCACGACTTCTTCCGGTGTAGTCACTTCATTATTAGACGACATGTTTTCTTCCGGGTCCGTTGATGTATAGGCAGCACACAGGTCGAGGCGTGTTTCTCCCTCTTCAAGGGGTCTCATGAGATCGGCTGGGATAGCCGTAACGAGTTGACATTTCGCCTCACATGGCTGATAAGTGTCTGTTGTCCAGTTTCCGTCCGCATAGTTCTTGGCTTCAGCAATGGTGTACCCTGTGCTGAAGCCTTCATGATATGCGTCAGGCAGGATAACAATGGTCTCGCCAGGCCGCTGATCCACGATGCGGTAAGGGATGCCGAGTTTATCCAGTTTCTGAGGGAAGAAGAACTCGGCCCGGTGACGCATGAACTGGGAGCAGCCCCGTTTCCGCCCGAGTGCTTCCTCAGCAATGTCGACTGCTGTGGACGGTACGGTAATCCAGATCTTGCGGCCCTTGTACAAGTGGTTCAACGAAACCAGTCGAAAGTCCTCTGCGTGAATCTGGAAGCTCGCACCAAAGTGAGGTCCAGACTCGTAGACGTAGGGCGTGTGAATGCCCGGAATAATGGCTCTCGTGTAATCCAGCTTGTCACCTTTCAGCGGGTGGATAGGACTCCGCTCAGGCACACCAGCAGCCCGGCGCTGCTCCGGGGTCCATGCGGGGACGTCAACTCGATAACGAACATTGCGAATCTGTTTTCGATTGTTCTTGTGAAACATCCTGCGTAAGTCGTCGAAAGCCTCCAAGGCGCTAGAGTTGTATTCTGGGCCGGGCTCGGTTGACACGAAGGTGCCTTCAGACAGCACGGTGTTAACGCGCCAGAAGCTGTTCTTCTTGCTCTGAGTTGGTCTGTATGCGTTTGCAGGGACTTTGTGGGGAGACGTCTTTTCGGGGAGGGCCTCTTGGAGTTGAGATGGAAGAATTATCTTGAAGCAGCCGTCATCGTCGGCACCTCGGTGTCTGGCAAAGGCAAGGATGGCAGCGAAATCGTCCCATTGGCTCAATGTCGGCTTGAGGCGCAATATCCTGTGGCCGTCGGGGCCATCATAGTCGTAGTCGATGGCGAACTCGCTGGGGTCTGGTTCGCTTAGGTCTGAGCTCGCCCCTGGACTCTTTGGCAAGGCGGAAGCATCGGAGAAGGAGACTGGTTCTTGATGGCGGGACGATTCAAAGGGTAGAGTGCCCGCCAAGGGAGGTTCGTCGTTGATTTGCAGATGTGTGGCTGATGCGGGTTGGATGAGGCCAGTGGTGGGGTCAGAGAGAGGACCCTGGTCGGCTTCGTTTTCTGGCGGGGAGTTGTGAGACACAGTGAATGCGACTGCGACTGCGACTGGGGCTGCGAGATTGGCCTCAGGCTGGATATCCGGGGGAGGCTCCTGGGGAACAGCAGGTAGGGTCGCCGCGCCCGGCGCCGGCAATAGTGCGTCCATTGAGGCTGGAGGGTGCCTTTGGGCCCTGTTGCGATCCGCCAGCGACGATGATAATCTCTTGTCCGACGAAGATTGTGTGGTTGCGCAAGATCGACGACAGGGGTTCTTGAAAGTTGGAAACTGTGCTTTTGTCGTATTGAGACTGTGGGCTAAGCTAAAATGGGCAAGGGGACTTCCCAAAGTATCCACAGGTTCTCCAAGTACATGCACTTTGTATGCGGCTTCCTGCGAGGGAACAGGTACTTCAGTACCTAAGGTATGCAAACCTTATTGTTTTATTTTAAATATATATATATTTTGGAATTATGTATTTAGCTTCTTTTTCTATAATGGAGGCACCTTCCATCTCTTGAGGATTCCTGCATTCGAGAAGTCAAGCTGATTGAACGCGTACCTAGGTAGGTAGTCATGTGACTCAATCTTTTTGTTGTGTCGCGGCACGCTGGACGTCGCTTGTCTTGTTCAATCTCAGCGGAGGCTATTCGATACATGGACACGGGATTCAGGCTTATTCCGCTACGAATGCCGATCAAGTCAAGCAGACATGTTTGAACCAACAATAGTGTTCAAGACTGTGACGTCTTTCCCTCGAATCCTCCCGTGTTATTTTCGCAATTTCCCGATCCTTCAGCTGTCTCAGCGCTCACGACGCAAGGAAGCGGCTCCCTCAGGATGGACACGGCAGAAGTCAGACCACTATTGGACCGGACTTCAGCCATATAGCAACGGCGCCCAATCCCGACGCGCATACAACAAAGGCAATTGAGCCTCATGATTGATTAAGTCACAT